TCGAAATAGAATGCTATACCATATGTTAGATTGTAGTCCATGTAAACATTCCATCAACTGGCATTTGCGTCCGTTGGGTTGCGTCCGAGTAATGAGCAAATGTCTTGAAAATTTTAATTTGATCAAATTGTGTCTTTTGTTACGTTATGGTCAATATGCTAATTATTCTATATTCTGACGTCATTTTCGGAGTTATCATATCATAAAAATTATAAAGTGACGTCACAATTTGTATATATTTTTCTGATCTCTCCAATGATATCAAACTCAATAATTTCCGTTAAACTGTTAATTTCTTATTAAACAGTTACCTGAACTTTTGAAATGACCCTCGTATGTTGGGCTTCGCATAGCTAAACATGGACACTGCCATTATCTTTATATGGAAGGCCGGAGTATCATTTAGTGAGCTCATGTCTCACAGTACCTCTAGTTTTCCATTACAATTAATGGTCATCGCAATAGGCGGTGTCTTAAAAACATCTATCTTAAAATTTGAAAGCAGATGCGAAGAGTTTTAGCAAGTGTTATCTTATGATGTACAAAAATCTTGCACAAAGCCCCATTAATCAATACACATTGTGAACAGAGCGAGCACAGACCTCTGAAATCTGGCTGGATCAGGTGTCATTGAGCAGTAAGCATCCCTGTTGACCGTCGTACCCGCAGTGTGCTCTATATCATGATCAGACAAACCAAACTGAAATCTTGATAAGCTATAAAGCATGAATTAGCTAAGTAGTTTCATTAATGAGAATAGTTCAAATGAAGATATACATGTACGAGGGTTGATCCAAAAGTTCGTGGAATTTCTTCATATTTTATTTATTTTTCAGTGGAATTCGTTGAAAATTACAAATGAAAATATAGACACTTGATGAATATTTTAAATCAAAAAACATTTTAAATATCTTTGATAGTAACTTTGTGGCAGTTGCCATAGAAACGGTTGTTTGGAAATGCGGGGGAGACATTAACGCGTTTATTATCATTTGATTCTTAATTCGTGAAATAAGAATCAAACCGCCCTGTGGTATATAAAACGAAAACTATGTCATTATTACGATTGCTTGATCTTTTATAAAAATTTGTGTGAGAGTTTTACTGATTTTACTGGATATTTAGTTTATAAGTAGATGGTTTATTGTTCATCTTTAAGTTGTTAGATAAAGTCAAATTTCGGTCTCGTCACACGTTTTGTAAAAATCCCGGGATCACTTTATCTTAAACGTGTATATTATTGACAAAGGCTTGGGAAAAATGCATTTAGTTACTGTTTTCCAGTGGCCTAAGAAGTTTAAGAAAAAAAAAGAACTTCCATGGACGTTGATTAAAGATGTGGTCGCTTTTTAGAGGCGTTTGACATAAAAAATTGACACAAGTAATATCATGTTTCCTCTTTTTATATACATGTAGTTACATGTGGTGATTTTTTAACAATAAAAAAAATGCAGGATTATGAAAAAGTTTCATTTTACACATTATTTTTTTCTACGTATGATAGGCAATATTAACACATTTGAATTTGATAGTGAAATTAAATAGAACTATACAAAAATAAGATATATTGTAACATATTATGTTAGAATCAAGAACCATTGCGTGGTCCCGTTAAGCTTATATAATGTGGCGAGTTTTATGGTAACGGGGTTGTAACCCCCTCTTTAAAGCTAATTAATTCCTTATGGCAATGCAAATGTGTGTCTTTACTATACAAAATTAAGCGTTAACTTTTGCTGTGTAACACAAAGTTGAAGAATTTAAGGATAAAACTGAAAAGTAAATTTCATCGAAAATCATAAATAGGAGCTTACATAGTATTTAATAATACGTATTTACATGGTCATTGTTATACTTGTACGTATAATCATCAAAAAAGAATTTCTAATGTACACGTAAAAAATAACGTATATAAACGTAACATATTGGTACTTTTATGCCCCTAGATCTAAGATCAGGGACATATTGTTTTTCTCTTCTGCCATATACATACATATATACATGGAGAGTAATTATTTAAAATAAACATCAAAATCATTAAAGAAGTAATATTTCTTTTTATATTATATATATCATATTATTGTTGTTTTGAAATTCAGCAGATTTTGATTACTGTAGACGTACTTTTTTCCACGGGGTCATAATTCCGCGGAATCTCAATTTCTGTTTTATCCGCGGGTAGAAAATTACGCAGATTTTCTAGATTGTCACTATATGCCTTATACATTTATATTTAGTACGCTTGGACAAATTTCCGCGGAAAATTTGTGACCGCGTACATAGCGTAAATTAATAACACGCGGAAAAACGTACTTCTACAGTATTTAATCTGCAAATTTTAAGAAAATTTGTTCCACACGATTTTAGTTCGGTGGTAAACCTCCTGTCGCTGAAAGGTTTTCTTGAATCACAAATATATTTAATGGGACCGTGTATCAGCTTTCGGAATTTCATCAAGTGTTGATTAAGTGTATGAAGGTTTACGTCCTGTTCGAGATTTTTTCACTCTAACAGAGAAGCAACCATATACCGATGAAGGACTTCAAATTTAGACTTTATTTGGCACTCAGGCCCATTGAGTATTGAAATTTTTATCGTGCCAATGCCTGCCATGAAACGTGACCTCGGTTTTAAGGTATCATCCAAAGAACCCCAACTTTCACTTTAAAGTGCTTAACGCTTAGGGAAGATGCAGTTGTTACGTTTTTTTTTATCGACATAGGAGAGTCGCAACCGTGGCTCGAAACCACGACCTTACGATCAAGCTCTAGCGAATTCTCTTGAATGGGTGTAACTTTATTTTTAAGTGGCTTCTAAAAAATGTTGAAAAGGAAGTTATTTTGAAGTTATTTTGATGAATTTATAGATATCTGTGATGACTAAAACCCCAGTCACATTTCCAAAAACGAACAACGGCCGACGGGTTTTGAAGCAAAAATGGGATTCTTCGGGTGACAGTAGTCAGTTCATCGGCAGTTGTCTTGGCCGATTTTGACCTATTTTTTGTCGGCCGACCAATTTTGTGTCCATCGGTCCAAGTTATAATTTTTCATGCGTCGGTGGCCGATTTCTTCAACTGCAGTTATCCGTCGACCAACCTCCGATCATCGTCCGACCATCGGCGGTCAGTTTATTAAGTCAGTCGCCCGTCGTTGGACAATAAGTGTGTTGAAAATTTCGGCCGACAGTTAAAATCAAACTGTAGCTCAGAGCTCGATCATCAGGCGACTATTGGCCGACTTGTGAATATTTAACCTATTAAGGATATATAAAATAAACAAAATTTTGATGCATGGATTGATATAAATTTTTTGAACGGAAATAACATAAATAAATAATCCTTAAGATATAAAGAAACCTTAAGTATTCTTTGCTGCTTAGATAGGCACTATTTGTCGTTTTTATGCAATTCCAAACAAAATTTTGTACACATTTTCAACATTGAGTCAAAATTTTATAAGATTCTGCCACTTTGCCTTGCAAACATTACCCACGTCACCTATCTGAATATAGATCTATGAAAAACTATTGCTGATTTTTAAGGAAAAAAGATTTTTTTTTTGTGTTATTTATCCAAGTCATCGGTGTCCCTAGAAAATAATGTGACTGCTCCGTGTCGCCCAATACTATGTCGACCGATCATGTTCTTTCAGCCGACAAGACCAGAAAAATTAAGTCGCCCGACCATCGGCTTAAATGTGACCGAGGCATAAACTATCATTCACTCAAATTTAAATTTTTGCTTGTTTTGAGGGATTTTTTATATATCATTATAAGAACTTTCTTAATATGAATGGTATTTTCCTGATATAGTTAATTTTAAGCATGTTTTTTTAAAGCAGAATGCATACATATATATTTAAATATTTATACATGTATAGTTAAATTACGTTGCTTTTCTTGCTCCTATGGTTAAGATTGCTATTTTTTTTTTATTTTTGGAAAGGGGGGGGGGGGGGGTCCCAACAACAACCTACCAATAGTCTACGAGGGTCACTTTATTAGTTATCCAAGTTCAATCAAGGGTGTACAGGGATTTACCCCGGGTTTTATTTCATACACCCTGAGGCCGAAGGTTGTATAAAATATGGAATAAAGCGCGGGGTAAATCCCCGTACACCCTTGATTGGACTTGGATAACGAATTTATTTCCTATTTACCCAAATAATTCTTTATAAAACTGTGTATCAAGCTATCGATTTAACATTTACTACGTCCTTCAATGCATATAGTGACGTCATGTTATTTGCTTCTTATCATAAAGAAACTATGCATTGTGACGTCATGTTTTTTCCCCCGACTGAAGTCGGGTGTACGGAATTCTAAACCCTACTTTGTAACCAATCAAAGCTCGTGTTACAAGCTAGATAGGAAATAATTCGTCGTTATACCGGCATATTTCATGAAGCGCATTAGTGCTTCGTGATAAATATTTTTCTGATGAATTACCACAAAATTTATACCATTCAGCTGTCATTTTTAAAGCAAAAGAGTTTGCACCATAGTTTTGACGTAAAGTGCGGTTTTATGAAATAACAATGAAGACATTCATGGTAGTTCATGAGAGATTGAACAGTCTTCCTATTTGCAAGGAATCTTCTGGAAAATTATTTGGACAAGTAAATATGATCATTTATATAGAACCACAAGAACGTGAATTTACCAAATCATCTTATAGGAATAAAAAAGATCTATAAATTTTCTAATGTTTATTTTTTATTTAAAAATCAACCATCTTGACAAATTAGTCGATCATACACCTAAAGGTGGAATAAGGTTTAAATTGAAATATTTACATTTGCAAATATCTCTCTTAGATAATTCTATGAAGAGAAAATATATTCAATTCCGTGTTCATATTATTTGGGGGTCAGAGGTCATAGCGAATCACAGAGCGAGGTGATGTTTTGTCTATACATATTTATAAGACGGTGCAACTTGTATTGGAATATTTCTAAATATCTCTATTGTTATAAGTTTATAACAATGAAAAAGATATAATGATTAACAATATGGATATTTTTCAATCACGAGTTGTACAATCAATCTTCTTTTGACGTGCATTAGGTTTTAAATCACGTGACCAACTAAAAGTTCTTTCCCAGAGAACTTTTTAAGATTGTTGTTTATTTCTAAAAACATGTTTATATAGAAAAATAAAAGAACCGATAAAAACATTTATCTATCTTCATACTCAATAACAATCATAATTAGAGAAGAAAAAGAATGCAAAAGTTACAAAAGTTTCCATATTATAGCTACAGAACCAAAAGGACACAGAGGATATCGGGTTTGGATTCTGTCAAACGTCCTTTCAGCTGCGAGATACATGTACGTGTATAAGTACTCATTTAATGAACGACTAGTTTTACTTCATCTGATAATGATGTCATGAAGTCTATGACGTAAGTGATAATATACATCATATGACGTAGATTCTTCACTATGACGTCCGTTCTGTACTGGCTCTGTTAATTGACTTCATGACGTGTATGAGATTTCTGGCGTCTATTGAGTACAAATTGGACAATACCAAAAATAACCAGCACCAGCCAGCAAACTGTACAAATCCATGAGGCATTCTGAAAAGGCCCATAAATATTATTATTTTGGCGCAGCTTTATTATTGTTATTCAAAAACTAATACTCTCTGTTATATTTTGATAGAATCCCTCTTAAATTTCTGATTGACTGAGATCCAAAACATGCAAGTGTCTGTTTAGGATGATTTTTTTCCTTAGACTAGAAGTAGATTTATTACGATAATAAGCATAACTGATAATTATTTTGACTATTTTGATTCCACTCAGGTAATGATTATAATGGGACAATTGAAAATATTTATTGAAAGGCCACATCTTTTTGATCCAGCATTCTCTAATGTTTCTGAAATTCACTGAACTGAAAATTTAGTTTTAAATTTTTCTCTCCTCTTAGGATGCAGGCGTTAAAGGCATAATTCTACAATAGGGGATTTAATGATAAAATTGTAAGCTAATTTATCAGGTCGCCATAAAACATAATTATTATAGAATGTCATCATTTCTCAACATATTGCTGGGAAACTCCGAGAGTCAATTAGCGTTAATCAGATTTAAAATTTATTTGGTTGTCACGATTACCTGAGTAACATTAATTAAGGTGTAGAAGCGTCCCGTAGAAGAAGTTTCCTTTGTTGCCACTGACTCAAGCTTCTGGTTTTCTGCTTCTATACAACTGGAAAAATATAAATTCAGAGTAAGCACTGTATAAATTAATTCTGCTGGATCTGTCGATGTCTTTAGAATGTAAGCTGATACTATTTTAGAATTTATTCTTACCTGGGATAGTACTTGTATTTGCCTTTTGTCATTGAGTCACATATCTCTTTAAAACCAACACTGACCATGCAGGAGGCAACAAGCATAAGTACTGTCACCACTGAGTTCAGCAGGATAAATGGGAAAACCCACATCTGTGACCTAAATCCAATCCATAGGTTATGTACAATGAAACCTGTCTTATCCAACAACCACTGGGAGAGGAATTTTATGTCGGAGTAGACAGGATGTTGGATAAGACAAAAACATAATAAATAGTAAAATGGAAATAAAATTTAACGTAAGAATAACGGATTACACAGGTGTCGGGTTAGACAGTTTTCGCTGTATTTTAACAAATTATGTTTTTGTGTGTGTTTTTTACTAATTGTAAAATAAAAAAAAAGAAATATTTATTTTACTTTTTTTTTCGTTTTTGAAATAGATTTTAAATATATGGATTGATTTTATATTGTTTTACGTGCCTCTCGAGAATTTTTTACTCATATGGAGACGCCACCAAATGGCGGTGGAGAGTTGCAATTTTTTTTCCATACTCGGCACTTAAGGCCTTTGAGCAGGCACCTACTGCGATGCGGAACCTCGGTTTATACGGTCTCATCCGAAGGACCGGTCTCCACGTCCCACAGTGGGATTAGAACACGCAACATAAGGATCAACTCTTTTCTTTTTTAAATATAATAAACAAGTTTAAAATAGTTACATTTCATTTCAGCACCCAAAATAGTTTTGTATTCCTTCAAGAAAATAATAGAATTAAAATTTAAGTTTACTTTCTATACAGTTGATACCAGTGTGCCGATTATGAAAACATATTTCTTAGAGAACAATTTTTATGACACATAAAATAGAAGTTTAGCCCTTCTAAAAGTTGAGAGAGAGAGACTCACACAATGGACGGGTCCCTCTGAGCTTTATAAATGGTGTACGAGTTGTAAATCGCCATCCCAAGAGCGTAAAAGATGCAAAAAATTACACCATTGTAGATTGGGAATTCACAGTTGGATTTGTTGCTATACACTAATAAATACCTCTCGGAGTTGTAAGGTTTAAGGTTGGCGTACAACAAACAACCGTCTGATCTAATCTGTAAAAAGACTACACGATGAAATAAAAGCATGACGTCTCCAAGCTGTAAGGTATTTTACTTTGATATTTAATTTAATTGCTAAAATTTAACAAGGAAAATCAGTACTGGATGCAGAAGAAAAGATCAGAATGCAAAATTTTACATTCACTAATTAAAGGAAACCCTCTGTTTGTATGCATAAGTTAAAAGTCTATCTTCGATAGTAAAAAATATTAATCTATAAATATTTGATAAACGTATGCAGGTTTGTTTTACAAATCAATTGTTTATTCTGGGTTTGGAATTTCATCAGAATATTTAATTTAGTGTTAAAACTTTCGATAAATAAAAACTTTATTTTCATATATATGCATGTGTTTAACCCTTTAACACATGGACTGCCTTGAAGTGAATATGTATGAATTAGAGTTCTTTAGCAAAAAACCAAGTACTGTTTATTTGGAAGTTAACATATCTTTGAGATTAAAAAAAAGTATTGCAAGTATTAGATCATACAGAAATTATGCCTTTTGCAAAGCACAGCCTTTACAGTGAAATTGTAAATCTTTGTGACTGATATCCTTTTATCGAATCGTTAAATTTTGGCAACAAGAAAATTAAAAAAATAACTAATACATAAATAAAATCATTATGATTCAGTTTAAAAACTATATTTCAAATTTTATATTTACTGCACATGTGTAAACTATCTAAATTGTATACACTGTACTTACACGTGAAACACCAAGTGGAATTGAAATCGCAAAACCGCAAACAAAAATAACGACATAAACAAATATATTAATCAACAACAGAAAATTTGATACAGCCATGTCGGTTTTCCTCAGGAATGAAAATGACAAAAAATTTAATTGAAGAGTCATTTAAAATTGGTCACTTATCATATAGCAATAATGTTAATTAGGGGGCGTGTTTTTTAAGAGCGGTAAAACAGTTTACAATGTGACGGATACAGTGATTAAACAGTCTTGGTTACACTTTTGCCATTTTTATTTTTGAGTATCGCGAGTTTCAATTAATACCTCTCTTAAAATCTACACTTTCGAATTCTATGTAAGACTATCCTATGTAATATTTCAACCAATTTCTATTCTTTATAAATATTTTAATATTCATTGATGATAGAGCAGGCAGACAAGTTGATGACAATTAAACCTGTATATATATATATATATATATATATATATATATATATATATATATATATATATATATATATATATATATATATATATATATAAAAAAAGCACTAAAAAACCAACAACACTGTATATCATAAATGTCGGATCTACTAAGTAGATACAAGGTCACGGATGGAAATTTATATAAAGCACTAAAATGACCAACGACATATATATATATATATATATATTATATATATATACATATACTGATAATGGCAATTAATTATTTCAAGTTCAATGGGGGTTTACTCAACACAAAAGAGTAAATGTAATTTTTAAAAGGAGTATGGTTTATATTTATTTAAAGTAATTAATACTAATTAAGCTTATAGATTTACTCTAAAAATCCAAGAACCACATTTTTAAATTTCCTCTCATGATCCGAGCATATAAGTTTGAGTTTTGAAAATCAATGTCGAGTGTCCTTTTCAATTATTCTTAGAAACAACTTCATTCAGATTTTTTTCCGCATATTTTTTATGCTGTTACGTCACCGATTTGTCCTAGGTACCGAAAGTCCGATTCTAGGAGTGTACTCAACACTATTTTTAATTTATAAGTGTAAAAATACACAGATTTAAATCTACCAAAGCAATTGCACATCAATTACAAAATTCAACATTTCCTGCGGAAACAGATGTTCGCCATATACACGTATTATACCATTTTTGTACGAAAAAAATCTTAACATAAACGTACGTATTGAAGATTTGAAATTAATTTTATAACGGAAATCCGCCTTTGCAGATTGGTTTAGCTTTTTCGTACATTTTATTATATATTATACATATTTTACGGTACGTTAGAAATATGATATTTAATTTTGAAATTAAATATATATATATTTTTTAGATTTCAAATATTTGAAGGAGGTAAAGAGATTTTTTAAAATTCAATTTACAAATGAACTGAACGAGTATCAATATATGGTACTTTATATGGACGTACGTGAACGTGTTTAAAAATATAATACAGTTTTTATTCATCTTTGGGTTTCTTTAAACATGTTGATTACAATATGTGGCTAATTTGTGTGAAAAAGGCTGTCAGGTTTTTGGAAAAAGTTGGCATTTGAGGGGCGACTTCCCTTCTCTAAACATGTTTTCAGAATAAGGCATTTTTATATACTGGATATCGTGTGCTTCCTTAAGGTAATTTAATAATATAATATTTAATATGGGAGAAATAGATACACAGACGTATATGTTAACACAGTTGTAACAATTAAAAAATCCGACATTTCTTGTCTAATTATAATTACATTAATTAACGGCATAGTTTATTTTGCATTTTTCATTTTAAAACTCAAGCATAATCATATTTGGATCATTCATTAGTGGTAGAATCAGGTTTTAACAGAAAGCATTGTTAAATAGAAACGAAAAAAAGCTGATAATGAACATACTTCTATCTTCATAATCAGTAATAAATAAATATAATGCTAAAACTCCAAAAGTGTCCATATAATGGTTACTATGACTGTCATACATGTACATCCTTTCAGCTGTCAGATACATATAAGTACTCATTCAATGATAGACTCAAAATATGTCTTCATCGGATTATGATGTCAGGAATTCCATGACGTAAGTGATTATGTACATCATATATGACGTAGATTTTTCACTTCGACTCTGCTCTGTACTGGCTCTGTTTATTTACTTCATGATGTGCATGCGTTTTCTGGCGTCTATTAAGTACAAACTGGACAATTCCAAAAATAACCAGCACCAGCCAGCAAACTGTACAAATCCATGAGGCATTCTGAATTTTTAGAAAAACCCTAAACAAATTGTCTAAGCTAATTTACTGCTATTCAAAAGGTGAAACAAGTCCGGGAAATTATAGGATCTGCCATAATCCAGTATACGAAGGGCCATACTCAAAAATGTGCTCGAAAAACAATCACAAGCGGTATATAATTGTTACCGACATATGTTTTAATCAAAAGAGAATATTTAAGTTAAATCATTGAGACTAAATCATTGAATAGCGTTTTTTGTTCCTTTTTGAACACTGAGGACACTATTTATTGAACAGTTCTCGTACAATTGTTAATTGACTATACCTCATCGATATATTTGAATGTCAAGTTGAAGACGATAGCAAGTGTTTTCTTCTTTTCACGCATAAGATTTTGCACAAATTCTGCGTCATATGAATGCAAGAATAGATCTGCTAATAACAGGGCGCAATTGGTACCTATGGGAATTCTAATAGATTGTTGGAAGACCTGGTGTCAAAAAAAAAAAAAAATAACAACACAGATATTGTCAATCAGAAACTTAAGTATCTTTTTGATGTCGACCTCAGGCTACTAAAATATTAAAACCGTAATAAAAAAAACTGAAAAACGTTACATATTTCATACTATCCCGAAACCAGGAGAATTTTACTCCTTTGTTGCTTTTTAAGGTTATAAATGTTGTTATTAAAGTAAGAATGCAGACGATAGAGGTATAATTCTACATAAGAGGGTTTAACAATAGAAATTTGAACTAGTTCATAAAGTCACGCTACTTATTAAAAGTATGTCATCATTGCTCAACATATTGAGGTCCGTGTTTGCTCTGCTCCTATTTTATACAGATTTATGGACTTTGATATTGAATGCTGTTCGTT